TGCATAAAAGGTTCCCGTTTGTCTTCACTCATGTTTGCTCATCCTGGAGAGCCGCGGCACTCTCTTCACCGCGCATCTGGACCACACTGCACCTTACCATCGGCAAAATGTATTCCTCAGTTTCGATGAACAACCTCACGCAGATCATGGAAGAGTGGTTCGGGCGTGCCAGACAGCTTCCCCTCTCCTTGTTCCTCTACATCGATGACTCTGCCTATGACTTTCGAAGATATATGATGAGTTTCCGCGCAGATAATGATGAGACACGTCTAGAATCACCCTTGGGACACTTTTTGACATCACTATCACCCTTTATACCTCGCTTCGAGAGGCTGAGCATCAGATCTCAGCAGAAAGAATGTCTCCGAGCGATTCTGGCACATCCCGTAACTTGGGATTTGCGCAACCTACAGAGTCTACATATCCGGTCCTCTGCGTATTACAGTTTTTCGGGCGAAAATACTCCTGATCGGACCAACAGCCACCTCTTCATAGCCACTCCTGTTCTCACCCATCTCAACCTGGATTGTATGGTGGCTAGACACGCGGAATTGAAACACACTTTCCCTTGGTCGCAGTTGACTCATCTCAATATTCCGACTAGCATGTCCGTGCCAGACTGGGTCACAGTCATGGATCTGTGCACGTCTCTGAAGACTGCAAAATTCGCACTGGCCGACTTTGCGCCGACTAATTTCCCCCTTCGCCGTTCGTCCTCTACGCATGACGACCTTGAAAGTCTATCATTCCATCTACCGAGTAGTAACCCTTGTAGTTATAGCCCTCTAGAACTACTCCGGGCCTTTCGACTACCCAATCTCAAACACCTTGATACCTCAAGAGACTCTAGTCGTCACGAAGAAACCTCGACGCAAGCTCCTCACGAGGACACGAGGACATTTGTATCACTACAGCGCCTCTCCTTTTTCGATAATCACTATGATTGCCTTCCGAGGCTGCTCAAGGAAACCCCAAACCTTCGTGAGCTATCTATGGCAACATATGGAACATTTCCCATTGCGCTTTTGGCGACCATGACATACACGCCGCACAGCGAGTTCAGTCCAAATCTCAACATCCTCCCGTACCTTGGCACCCTTATTTTGGCCTTCAATGATCAAATGGACGCTCCAAACCTTGCAGTACTCAAGAAAATGCTTCTTTCCAGGACAAATGAAACAATTCCGATAGGGTGCAGGCCACTGAAAGAAGTGACCATCCTGGTTCGTGACGAAGATGGAATAAGCGACCTTAAAGTAGTCGTTGAAGAACTTTGCAATGAGGTCAGTGGGGTCAACATCGTTTTGAAGCAATCATCGGGACTCTGGTACGACACAATTCCAAAATATGTATCTATCTGACCTCGTATATTTGCTTTCCATATTGAAAACAAGAAACAAGTACTTAAATATTCTACGCACATCGCATACTTACTGTCGAAGATACGGTATATAACATATGATTTATGGCAGATTTACACCTATATATATATATGTAGTCAAACTAAAGGGACATATACAACAAATCAAGTATGCATAGAGCGCATCCAACTAATCAACTTAAATCGATACGTTTTTAAATTAGAAGGAAGTCAGAGCAAACCTGTGGCGACGCACATCGTCCAAATCAACCTCAGTGATGTGAGCCCGCTTGGCACATCGTGCTTGCTATATTGATGAGCATGATCGAGAGTGCCGCGGCTGTGGCGGCTATCGGCCAGCCAGAGGGAACCCTACGCCCTGCGTCCACGCATGCTGCACGCGCATATCACAGTGCTGCACGACGGGAATGACTACCGAGTCCCACGTTGGCCGGAGGCGCTGCGCAACCATGTGCCGTACAATAGGTGAGCGTTGCTGGCGTGGCGCGGCGTCAAGCGATTGCGTAAAGAGGAAGATCTTGAGGAAGCCAACGTGGAGATCCTGCCCGGACTGTAGTGTTGGTGGAACAAATGGGCGGCGGCCCCCGGATCCGTACCCAATGGTGAGCGTCCCCCCGTTTGCATGCAGCGGTACTGCGGGGCCATGAAGACCAAGCGGTGGCTCATACGCGGTAGCTGTGTGCAGGCAGAGAGGAATCTGTTAGCGATGGTGAATACAGCCCGAGAATGAACAGGGTACCGTACCAATGGTGAGGTCATCTGGGTTGAGGTAGCACACCTTCGGGTAGACATCAAAGGTACTGTTGTTGGTGATCTTGATCCCGTACGTGCTGTGAACACCACATCCTGTCGTAAGGTTGATTTCACCAGCTTCGCACAGATTAGGCTCGAGTGGGGATAGTTCGTGGTAGACGTCCGCAAACTGAGATGTAACATTCTGAAGCTTGTAGAATTGCACATCCACCTCGTCCCGCAGAGGATGTGCAGTATTCGTGCGCTCTAGCTCCCAATAATAGTCTTGAGCGCCCTTCAAGATTGTCGGAAGCTCGTCGAGCTGAAGAGTCGTCGTATTTTTGAAGTGTGGGGTGACACCATATTTCGTCACTCGTGAATCAGTGATTCGTAGCGACATGTCGCCCGTGGTATTGTCTCTAGTAAGAGTAAGGTGACCTTGATCAGAAGTAGTTGTGATGTTCTCGAATTGCCCGTCAGAACTTTGCAGTAGAGAATGGAGGACAGGTGCATCTGAGTAAGGTGGAACCGCAAGCTTGAAAAACTCCCGCCGACCGCTCTTTGACTTCACAGCAATAGCGTCGGAAGTAAAGTTACGAAGCTCAGTTGCGTCGGGGGGGAGTTTCATTGTTGCTGTAAAATTGTCGATTGTGTCGATCACAAGCGTGCCTAATGGTTGCTCTGATAAAGCATCCCTATCGGGGTAGACTGTGAGCTCATCCCCGACTGCGAGGCCATGAGCACTTCCAGCACTGAGGCTGAAACCGAACTTGTCGGAACCGGTACTGGCGGGTTGTCGTTGGTAGAGAGGTGTAAAAAGCATCGGACCCTGGGGAAGATCCTCTGAGCTGAAGAGGTATCTGTTTTGGTGTACTCCCTCGCATTGCGGATGTTGCCTATTAGACGCTATCAGCAGGGTCATTTGGAAGATACACCATACTTTTCTTACCCGGGCAAGTCAGACATGTTCAACATGATATCGGAATATTTCAGTTTATTGAACGGTGTGCCATCAGATTCGAAAACTTCGAGGAGGGCTTTGGTAAAAATTCCGCGCGCATTACGTTCTCTGGCGAGTTCACCAGCACTGCAAGCAGCGAGGAGGACGTGTGAATGCAAACCACTGTGTAGCGGGGGTGATGATGAACGTGCATCCCAGATCTGACGGTCAAGTTGCGCATTGTGGATAGATGGGTTGACGGCTCCAGACCGAATACCACTGCCACTGGGACTGCCAATGACTTGTCCTCGAGTCCCTGATGCAGAATGACAGCAATCCAACACCACAGTCTGTTTTAAAAAATTAAAATGAATCTATCGTATCGGCTGAAAGGAACTAAATTACTCACAATATTGTTTCCCTTTGTTTCTGCAATGCCCTCGAGAAGGGCTCCGATAGTCCGATCTGGGATAGCCTGCACTTCACGACCAGGTGTTTCGCAGTAATCATGTGGTATAATCACTTGAATCATGCTTCCTGGACCGCCAGCCTCCCACCCTGGAGGAGGAGGCAGCTCACTCCCATGCCCGGCAAAGAAGATAAAGATAGCGTCGTTAGGATGAATCCGTTCGTCGTCCTTCAATCGGTTTAGAGCATCGATGATGGCCCTTCGCGTGGCCGAAGCATTGTGGAGAACCTGAAGGTTTTTGGTGGGAACATCGAGTGTGTCTCGGAAAAATGCTAAAAACGCCTCAGTGTCTGCAACAGCACCGGAAAGTGGTGGTATGTGAGAAGACTGGTAGTCGTCAATCCCAACAAGCAAGCCAAATATTCGACGCGAACTATTTTGCTTGAAGTTGTTAGTCACATGATTTACTTGTCCCGGCATAAGGTCCGAGACCCCATACTCGGTGGATTTCTTTTGGGACGTGTCCATAAGTACGGTGGTAAATGGCGGGAGTGTACGTTGGAGAGGGTGAAAGTGTTCCGCATCGGTGCGAATTTTCTGGGCTTTATAGAGCGTCGCTGTAACTGCCACAGTGGTGAGATCTTGACCGTTCGAGTCGACCCTCGAGTCTTTCAAGTTGATCCATTAATTAGCATGACTGATGCTCATCTAGATATGCAACCACCGTGCTGAAGAAATAGGATCGATCTAAATCGACCTTCAATTTGCCTCTCCATATTATAGACTTAGATCTTATTGTTGATAAATCGTTGAGGGAATCACCAGTGAGGCTGGCCAGAAGTCATATACTGGTTAAGTACTGTCTAAAGTTGAAAATTTTCATCTAAACCCTGTTGGATTTCCTATATCAACTTGAATAATTCTGAGGCAGGCTAATAAGACAATGAAAACACTCGACTCGGAACTTAAAAACCATGGTACTTAAACCGCCCGAATAAATCCCGGCGTTACAGGAGAGCACACGCCATACACACCCCACTAACACCGATAGACTCGCTCGCGTTTTGCACTGGTACTTACATGATAAGCGCACGTATTCTATTTTATTTGCATCGTGCAGCGTGCGCACAGCGGGCTGCGGAATGCATTTCTGCTGCCAGTGCACTGTGCCAGTGAGGGCGCCATTAATCGTTTCATTTGAATCCCTGGCCCATTCCTTTGAAACACGTATCATTTACCTCAAAGTGAAATTTGGCAGTCATATCCCTACACCGATATTCATGAGTGACCTTTTCAAAAAAAAATTACTCAGGCCAAACTAAAGCAGATAAATTACATTTTCCCTCTTTTCTCCACGTTCACCTGTTCCAACTACAGATTTCTCAAGAAAAAAAACTGTACGCACTCTCCACTACCACACAACGGTGCAAAAATGAGTCCGCCCGTACTTACTACATATGAAAGTAAAAGTTGAAACTTGAGTTACCGGCGTCGGCGGCCGAGCGGAATTCGCATTCCGTTCGAATTCCGAGAAAAAGTGGACACTGTGGGAATTGAACCCACGACCTCACGCATATCGGCCATGCGAAGCGTGCGCGCTACCCCTGTGCCAAGAGCCCATACAGAAGATCTCATTTAATAAATATAAAGGGCTGTGTCCAAAATGTGGAAGGAAATTACAGGATAATTTGAGCCGTGTATTCATCTGAACCGCACCAAAAGGCATTGTTCAACTAGGTACGCGGGCCACTGACTTCACGTTTCGAGTAGAGGATTAATATGTAATTATTATACAGACACGCACACCGAACGCAAATAATCTACTATCAAACCTCCCCACACAATCCACCCAAGGTGGCCATTTCGTTGAAAATTTGCTGAAACAAGAAGATTAGGCCGCTTCAATTCTATGACAGACATCCAACCGCATACATACTCCAACAGCTTTGTGGCGATCTCAGATCGACTGTTTTATACTGCCATAGCAAATGGCAGCTCGTTCCTCCGACAGAAACGACGAAATATACTGTCCCCTGGCCATTCAAAATACCAGAGATTAGAAGCATGGTAAGGAATGCTAGTCCACATCCGATCAAAAGCGGGCGTATCCACGTTCCAAATAATATGGCAGTCGATCTGACCCCTACTTTCACGTCGTCCTCGATGTCCTGGCAAGCATAAATCGTGTCTGGGAGATCGTTAAAAAATTATTTAATAGTCAGACCGTTAATAAGAGCCCACCGTAAAGCATCGTCCAGCTTGAGATAATTTTTTAGAGACAAAATTAATTGATTGAGAATGTCACTTACCACCAGCACCCCGCCATAGCAGACGTGATAAGAGGTGTGTTGAAGGCGTCTCCAGACGAGGTCCATGCAGTGATTATACCGAAATTCATTGCAATGCCTAACCATGCCTGTGGCCAGTGGGTGAAACGCTTCAAAAAAGGGTAGATTGAAAATCTTCGTGCCAGCAGAGTCAGTGTCAAAGATGACTCCTGCATAATTGAAAACACGTGCAATGGTAGGAGGTGGAGGATAGCGACGTTGAACCTGGAAAGACATGAGTTTTTCCAGCGTGCTCATTATAACGACACTCACGCAAGGCCTGGAAACGCTAGATAAAAAAATACCAGCCCCACTGTATACTGCACGAATAGAAAAATCAGGGCTGAAGAGACGGACACGCGGCCGCTTGGCAACGGACGGTTTCTAGTACGCTCTATTTGATTATAAGTTTGTAGATTTCCGAATACTCGTCGGAGCTCACCAACACCCATATCCATGTCGCGGTCGACAATATCATTCACAGTGCATGCCGAACTTCGCACAATGAATGCGGCAATATAACACTTGAAAAGCTGCGCGCTATACGCAGTGGGATTGACGCCCGTTCGGAACGCCGACATAGTCAAGCTCCATGCTGATTTTCCCATTAGTAAAGAGCACATGTATATGTGACAGAATTGAGTAACCAAACGGCCAGAACATAAGGGCAATTCCTGTTGGCTTCATGGGCTTCAGCTTTGTCGGTTATTTTACGGGATTGAGGAAGGGAACAGACCTTTTCAAGTCTGATAAGTTCCACATAGGGCCTTACAGACGACGAAACGATGGTCAGAGGAAAGCCCCGAGATGAGGAGGTGAATTTATTCGAGAGCAGCCAGGTATACTCATTTGGTGTGGAAGAGTCCATGATGCAAAACCAGGGTGATGTGAAAGATAGGGTTGATAAATTCGATCCCGCCTTTATACTTTCAATTCAACGAGATAGACGAGCAACGGGTGATCTGGGGGGGGGGGGACACCGCGAGAGGTATGTATCGTTCCCAGAGGTAGAATGTTGAAGTCCGATGGGTGAGCAATCCACCTCGAATTGGCCTCTACTTTTCTACACGGGGATACACCCGTCCTGATTACACCTTGAAAGAGCGATTGCTCCCCCCATCCAGACCAAATTTCAAGATCTTGTTGTGTGGGTATAGACCGCCTTCTCCGTGATATATGGAAACGTCGAGGTGACGTGAAGCGGAACCGTGAAAGTCTTCTCTCCTATTGAGAAAGGTTAACAGAGGATCTCTTTCCTGTTCTCTGGAGAAAGAGAACCATGTGTCCGGAGATCTCGGAGTCAGAGGAAACCACAGCTCCCAGCACGAGAGTTTCCTCATCAATCGGATCTGCAGGTATTTTACAAGGTATCCAGCATGATTGAGGAGGGGTGCGCCATGCTAAGAGGGGTGCAGGTGCAGAGGTGGCGTCGTTTGGTGGCGAAATGGAATCAGACTTTCGTGAGAGAATGGTTTACAGGTACATACCCTGTATAGAATGAATCGAGAGTATCAATAAGGATACGAGGTCCAAGGGGAGTAGAAGGATCTTCAGCGATTTGGGTGTGATAGCGACTCCACAGCAAGACTGCGTGTGTCTCGGATAGCCATGTACATTCAGATATGGCCCACCATCTCAAGCAAAAAATGGCGCGTCCTCATCGTTGATGAGTAAAAGAATGTAGAAGGCACATGTTACACGGACCGCGCAGAAGATTTGAAAGGCCATTTAAGAGTTCCGTAGATCGAAGGTCTCCGTTGCTTTTATGGAAAATGATGCCCGTTGGTGAAAGTTGGAGATATAAAATCCCAAAGCGCTATGATCATACCTCAAGCCGAAAGTTTAAGAGTAAATAAAAGCCTTCCTCGTGAAGGAAGGAGAAATCTGCACTCACGTAAAATATTGAGGTTCCGTGTTATTTGCTCCAGAGTTGAGACTGTCGTATCGTCAGTTTGGAAGCGATGATGGAGACAAGGTCAACATGGACCATAAGATACCTCAAGATCATATTACTGTCAACTATTGACAGTTTGAATGGGGGATAACTCATGCATTATACTACCGGCCGATTTGCGGTCGCTAACGGCAAGCACATGGAGTGGTACTTAGGCCCTGATTGAATACTTCCATAAATTGCTCGTTGCGACGACGGGGAAAAGGCTAGAAGCATTTACCTAGATCACATCTAGCTTTTTTTTATTTCTTCATACCCGTGGGGAAGATCAAGAGCCCATGAAAACAACGGACCGTTGTCGCGTGCAATCGCATACCTTGGATGAAACTCAGCCTTCAGGAAGAGGCGGGTCTGAGGGCACTGCAGAGTCTCTTTCTACGGAAAGGTGGGTGGTGTTCGTACTGGCGTTCGATAATTTGCGTTCGATCTGTTAGCGAGCGGATGTGCCCTAATAAACCCCGATGCGTCATTGGACAATATAATTTACGAACACCTTGCATTTTAAACGGTTAGATACAGATGAAATCAAGAACCTAGCAGTCCATGGAAGACCCAAATCTTTATTCTCGATATGTTTGAGAAAATGATAGCACCGGAAGACGCACCAACTGCACCAATATTGGTTTTGCTTGTCGTGATGCGTGACTGAGAAACCCCATAGGCTCCAAGTTCTGATGGTTCAGTCGAACGGAGATGTCATTGTGAAGGCATATATGGAATGGAATAAAAAGTACATGCTGAAGAAAAATGGCGAAGCCACCATGAGTTATGTCGCATCTCCGAAGTATTCTTCCACGAGGGCTTTTTTCCGGAGAGCTAATAGAACACCTTCCATCTCGTCGTGTGAGGGAAGTTTTGGAGGTAGCAGATGCTCGACATCAAGGAAAGGTATGTAAGCAGCAGCGGCTTGAGCGTGTATTCGAGAAGCATCTGCATCTACAGTAGATCGTAGTGCTTCCGGTCCTGTGGTGTTTTTCGTCTCTGCCTTGGCCTTCTTAGGTTCGTCCCCCTCGGAGTGCATTTCAACGTCTTCTTGGCTCTCAGCCTTCCGTTTCGACGACGGAGGCGGTGGGTTTGACGAGTCGCTGGGGACTGTCTGAGTGACTACTACATTCGAACGGGGAACTTTTGGCGTCGGGGTGTCGGATGGTAAACCGAGGGCTTCTCGCACATTGATATATGCTTCTTCCCAATCTTAATATCGGATAAGGGCCCGCATCATGAACTCCGCAGAATATATACACACCTTCGTCCTCCGCCTCATGCTCATATGCTAACAGTTTCCCGTCATCTTCATCCAGATCGCCGTAGTAGGCCGGGCCCTGGTTCATGAACTTTTTGTAGTACGCAAGGACCTGGTTTTCCTCCTCCTCTTCGTTCTTCCGGCTTTGGAACAGTTCACGGACACCGGGGAGGTCTTTAGCGCGTCCGAAGTATCTGAGGTGGGGATTAAACAATGCTGCACGGATAAATTGCTGATACGTACTTATATCCCTTCGTTCCCGGCACCTCTTTTCCGTCGTCATCCAACATTGCCACATTCCGTCTGTAATTTGCACCCCCCAACGCCACGATTTGATTTTCCCAGTGACGCTTTTCACGCATGATTTTGTTAATCTCGTCATTTAGGTCGCGAACTTCGTAATCGGTCAAGCCGGCTATAATGAAGAGAATAAGTCCCATGATTCAAGCAGCAACAGCAGTTGACATTGACGAACCGTCTTGAATCTTGGATACTTTCCTGCTAATCTCTCGCAAGATCTCTCCTCTCCATCTCTCACACTCCCTAAGACTTTTGCATGCGCTCGCCATACGTGGCCGTCGATCAGCGCGCGTTCCGAGGCCAAGCTCGGCTGCCTGCGCCTCTCGGAAACGATACAACATCGATTGTGCTTTCTCTTCATTACGAGCCTAAAGAAATGTCGTCAGGATATACATGTGATTTTAAATGATAATACATACCATGTTATGAGAGAAGTATTAACTTGAAACCTGTGTTCAAGCGCTTCAAATTGGGTAGTGGGTGTCAAGATTCTTAAACTGGCCCGGGAGAGAACTGACGACGCGTGCTCAAGTCTGCAGAAGCCGTCGAGCAACAGCACCAAACACCATCTCGCGTCGTCGACGCGTCACGCGATTCGAATTCAGGTCGCCTCCCGCCACTGTACCCAAACTGCACCCAGTGCTATCTATTCCACGTCGGGAATAAGACAATATGGCACCAACTAAGGAAGATATGATGGAAGGTACGTCCAACTATCATTCTGATAACATCTATATCTTAGGATATCCAGAACATCGTGTATTTTCCGCTGTTATCAGCACGTTCAACAACTAT